TGTGTGAGGCACTCCCGGCCCGGTCATAGACCCGGCACGCACCCAAGCATATGTCTCCCATGTTGCATGCCTAATGTGCGACTAGCCTACCCGATAGAGCCTAGTTTACGCCCAACGTATGACCGGCTCGGCCGAAGACTTGGCATACACGAAGCATACCTAGTTTATCATGCATCCAACACGTGACTAGCTCGGCTCGGCCGAAGGGCCAACGAGCGTGAGGTACATTTGGCTTGTTGTGAGCCCGAGCATGAAGTAAGCATACGCATGAGCATCAACGTCTAATATTAACCTCGCGCACACCCATTATATATTTTATCTAAAGTCAATTTTAAATAATAATAAAATACCAAAAACATCGGATTTATAATCAAAAATAGATAATTCATGCAGTTTATTATTATTAAAAAAGCATATAATTAAAGATTCAACAAAGGCTTTGATACCAATTATAAGATTATGCATCTTATGGAGGTGCATAATAAAACAAAACTTTTTCTCCATCTAAGGCTCTTAAGATTAAATCGTTGAATCAACTAATCATACATACATGAATTAAAAGCATGAGTAAAAGATTACCTCTCGTAGAGTATATTTAGCCTTTATAGAAAAAAGGGTTGTTAAGTGTCCGACTTCTATCGATAATCCACGTAGCTTAAACACCCACAAAAGAAGCCACAAAGATCACATAGTGCTAGCTCCAATCCTTTTATATAGTTGATTTGCTTTTAAAAAAAATTAGTTAGGGTTTTTGCAGTAACTTAGGCTTTTTAAGGAGGGATATGACAACTCCGACTTTTAAGAGAAAAACACTTTCTCTTTTTTCTTTTTCTTTTTGTCATGTGTGTGTCTTGTAATCTCACCCTTTGCCACCTCTCTCCCAATTATTTATATAGGGGGTGACATCCTTATCCTTTAAGGATAAGGAGTTGCGATATGTGAGGGCTTATTTAATTTTATCCTTGTAGGCTTTTTAAATTAAGCCTATTAGTCCAAACTCTTTTGGCACTATTAATTATCAATTAATTCGAACTATCCAAATAAATTGGATAAGATATTTTTTAGGAAACCCATATTTAAAATCAATTTTCTAAATTACCTTTAAACCTAAATTAGGAAACTAATTTTCTTTTTAAGTAACTTACTTTCAAATTTGGAATTAACTTTCAAATTAGAAAATTGATTTCTAAAATAAAAAAAAATTATTTTAGGAAATGTTTTCCAAAACATGAAACTTTTCATTTTTAGAAACGTTTTCCAAAACAGAAAACTTTTTCCAAAATCTTTGCTTCTCTTTTATTATGTGAATGCTTAAACTCGTGTGTGTGACTCAATAAACTTTTAGATATGTTAGCAAAGTATTAAGAATAGAAGATACCTCTTTAATCTCTTTATACATAAATCAAGATTGGTCTTTAGCAAGACATCATGACTACCTAGTTTTCTAAAAAGATTAATTAATTCACAATTATCTTTCATGAGCATGTTTATCATACAATTTAGTCTTCATGTCAATTTATTATAGTATAATTTCGAACTTAGTTTATAGTCCGTTCGATTATGATCACACGAGTTTTCTTCGATTTTTAAATATCTTAACTTTAGAGTAAACCAACTATGATCTATTGGTATACTCCCACCGTGGCTATAGATTTCTTGAGTATATATTTATCGAAGTGCAATGTAATAACTCCTTTAGCACATAAGGAATAACATATCCTATCTTAGTCATCCATCTGTCTCCATTAGATTCCTAGTAACCCAACGAATCGCCCACGTATAGCTCTTAGCCGAGTCTATTAAAACAAGTGTCAAGTATATAAATCCTCTAATAAGATAAGCGTGATGACTTCAAGTCAAAAGATCAATTGTATCTTTCTCATATGAAATTCTCATAGACCAAACAAAATGGGTTATCATGACAAGTCAAGTCAAGTGATATGCTCTTTAACATTAATCATCTAAGTACTTACTTTGGTATCACCATGCCAATAGGTGTGAGATTTCCTACTCGCTATCTTATAGTATAAGCATAGCACTCGAAGTATTACCTCATATAGTTAATGTCCATTCTTGAAAATATTACGATTTGGGACATACAATGATATTATTTAAGTACATTAATATTTATCTCACATCTTTCGATCAATTATTAATGCAATGCATATTATATGGACTTATCTACTTCATCGACATATAAATGACTAAAATTAATAAAAGATTACTAAAAAGACTTCTTTTATTAATAAAATAATAAATAAAATATTAAAATAAGTCAAACCATCCAAACAAAATTGGATCTTGGGCACCTACGCTAACATATATAAAGAAGCATTTTGATGATTAAAGAGATGAGAGAATTGATGAGGTAAAAAAATTAAACTTGGTAATTTAATTTAGGTATAATTTTTTAGTCATTTCACTATCACATGTTTGTCACGTGTGCTCGTAGGTCAACAGGATCAGCTCGACTCAATTATAAATCAAAAAATAATTATGGTACTAGGATTTAAAAAAATCAAGTTAAAGATGCCACTCAACAATCAATGTATAGTACGAGTACTATCGAACCATTTAGCTAATTGAGGTATGTATAGCTTGCACACAACTTGCGATTTTAGGACAAATATACAAAAAGAGTTGATCTACATACCAAAAAGAGCTCAAAATTGACGACCAAGCTTGCCTTTGAGGAGCCAAACGGGCTTATAGTCTTGTTGTTGGACCTTTCTTGCCATGTGACTAGGAATGCTCATTATATATTAATAACCAAATTATAAATATTGTACAAATAAGTGTATAGAATGTTAATACTATGGTATGTATATGTATATGTTAAATTTAATGAAAGAATTATAAATATTTTAAATACATGTATATTAATACCAATATATGTAATTGCAATCAAGTTTTGAGTTAGGTTTAAGTTCGTATCTATATATTTTACGGTGAGTAAATATTTTTTCAAAATAGTAATCATTAATTAAAAAAATATATCTATTCAAATAGGTTAAGATGGTATCCATCGGATTCTAATGAAATTGTCATCTCTAGTTATGTGTACTTGGCACCGAACTTGTTGTAATTCTTAAGTTGCACTATCGAAAGAAAATACCATGGCAAAGGAACGAAAATAAGAAGATGTTTTCGGCTATGTTTGTTTAGGGAAAAACAAGTTCGAGGAACTTGTTTTCCTCATTTTCCTCCATTTTTAGTGTTTGTTTCACGTTTAGGAAAAAAGTAAACGGAAAATGATTTTCGATTAACGAAAAATGATAGAATATTTTTAGAAAATTGTTTTCCGAGCTAAAAAAATAGAAAAACATTTTTACTCTCTCTCTCACTAGTTGTATCTCTCTCATGTTACTCACCTCTCTCTCAATATATTTTAATAATTTTTTTCTCTGTCTCCTTTTTTATTTAAAATATATCATATTAATTTTTCATTATTTCTTATCAATTATTATTAATTATTTAATTATTTTTTCTCTATTTTTATTAACATTTGATTTTTTTATTTATAAATACATTAAATATTCTTAAAAACCATTTTTACATCTTAAAATTATCTTTCTAATAAATATTTTAATAATTTATCTCTATTTTTTTTTTACTATTATCTCAAAAACCACCTAAATTGTACTTAAGTGATTGGAAATGATTATTATAAGGCTTCAATCATTTATGAAAAAATTAAACTAATTAATTCATTAATAAATATATTATTTTTTCAATACTATTTATTTATAACTAAATCAATAATTTGTGAGTAATTTTAATTAGTTGTAAAATTTTATTGGTAATTGTAGTCAATAATTAGTTACAAATTATTCCAACATTAATCTTTTAAAACCAAATGAATAATTATCAAAAAAAGATAACTAATAATTTGTAAAATTATTTTTTAGATTAAATTATCAATGCAATTTTCAAAAAAATATATTTTTGTATTTCAATTTTGTGTATCAAATAAACACTAAAATATATTTTTCAGCAGCTTTTTCATGTAATTGTCAAACATCGGAAAATATGTTTTTTAAAAATAATTTTCTAAACAATAGCTTTTCGAGAATTGATTTTTCTATAAAAATTGTCCTCTTGTCTTTTGCTTAAAAACTCATTTTATCTTTGAACTCTAAACAATAAAGTGGAAAGTATACCTAGCTGGTAACAATCTCCGTTAAACATTTGAGGCTAATTATTTTTACTTTTTGACTAAATACTTTTTTGTAAATTGTAACCTTGCAACTTTATGAAATTAGTTAGGGTTTTAGGTTGTCATCAACATAATGGATACGTTCAAACAGTTTACCAAATAGAAATTATTTCTTTAAAAAAAATCAAAATTTAAATTAGTTATCCATTTATACCTTAAAATTTTTAAATGTCTCCAAATTTTTTTCTCAATTAGGTTTGGTAAAGTTCAAAATATTCTTAATTGTATCCTTTGCATTTCAAAATATTTTAAAATTTATATTAACTAAAAAATATTTCTATCTTATAGAGTGGAACGACATGACTTATTACCGATTAAATATATTTTGAATATCTTAATTTTTTAAATAATATTCTATGTTCACTTTCCGTCAACAAAACATCCACCTAGCACATATAGAAATTAAAAAATACATTACATGTAGAATTTGAAAGCAATGAAAAAAAAAACGTATACAAAAAAAAATAAATAAATAAAACAACAAAATTGATTTCAAAAAAAAAATAATAATATGAAATCCCAAGAAATTGCAGAACGCCTATAAGCTTGGACTGGTCAGACATTTTAGATCAGGGACTGATTTGTGATTTACTAAACAATTCCAGCTCAAATTGAGATTTTAGGAAACGAGAAAGAGCGCAAGCTTAAAATTCCAGGACCTAAAAGTAAATTACCAAGACATGATCCCAAAACCAGCGAGCGGAACCAAAAAGAAAGAGGGAAGCAAAGACGAAGACGCTAACTAGTACTCTACTTGCTCCACTAATTTCTTCTCTTCTCATCAATGGCGACTGCTCTATCCAGAAAAGCAAATCACCTGCGCAACAGCTATCGATTTCTCACTTCTCGATATCTCTCTCAATGCAGTAGCAAACCTTACATTCCTTTCTCGCCACTCCTCGAGAATCCAAATCTCCCTCTTCCTCGATCGGTTCGTGAAATCTTTTCGTGATTCTTCAATTTCAATTTTACTTACTCACAAATTAACATGTTTCGATTTCTTCATCGTGTTTAGGTTTTACCTCTCGGTGGAGGAATCCAGTCACTACCGATTTCTCAAAGATTTCTGTTTAGCACTACTGCTGCTGCTAGTACTGTTGATTCCGAGAGTTCAAAAAAGACTGAAGAGGATAAATCTGATGGAAATGAAAAGTCTGGGGATTCAAAGCGGCAAGATAATAATAATGCTGGAAGACCATTACGGCGCGGGGTAATTTTTTTATTTTTTTTCATGTTTTCGTTTTTATGTTTAATTAGGGTTTTGCTTCGTCAAGTTTCAATTTTTAATAATATAGAGTAGCTGATTAGTGTTATGCATTTAATTATTCGGTGCAGCCTATTTCATGGTTGAGTTTTCTGTTGCTGGCGGCTACTGGAGCTGGATTGATTTGGTATTATGACAGGATGAAGAAGCGACGTATTGAAGGTAGATTTCTATGGTGAGTTTGGATGTTTGTTGATTTTAAATGATCACATTGTCGGGCTAATTTGTTTGGAAATTAAATAACTTAATCAATGTACGTATAATTGACCTTCTTTTTTTTTTCTTTTTTGCTATTGTTTTTGTTTGTAAGAAGCATATGTAGCAGCTTCGTCGCTCTGCATATTGATAAAAAATTAGTAAGTGAAATGCAAAATACAATTATTGTTAAAAAAAGAAAAATCTAATTTTTGCTGCGACTTGCATCCCATGTTTATGGCCGTAAGTCCAAGCAAATGGATATTGCTTTGTTGAATCCCTGCCCAAGATAAGTTGGTGTGTTTGCATGATTATTTGGATTAACAGCTTGTTTTTTTTTCTTTTTCTTCTTCTTCTTCTTTTTTTTTTCCGCTTAAATCTGCTGAATAATCAAGGGGTCTGTTAAAAGCTAGCTATTATATGGCTGTACTGGTTGGCTTACAGTATGCACCTTATGTTTGTGCAAGACAGGCTCTTCATGTTTGATTTGTATAGTATTGGGTCTGTATGGAGGAAAAGAAGGGAGAATATGAGCAATCTCCTTCGTTAACTGCTTCTGTGAATATTATTCAAAAATTTTAATGCATCATCTCTTGAATGGATTGATATCTTGCTTTAAAGATACTTGAATTCGACCATTTTAAGTATTAGATTGTATGTTTTATTTTTCTGTGCTGATAATTTTATGTGTGCAGCATTAAATAAAACTTCTTCGATTGTGAAGGAGGGACCATCTGTGGGAAAGGCAGAGATTGGAGGCCCATTTAATCTTATCGATCATGATGGGAAGCCTGTTACAGAGAAAGACTTTATGGGGAAATGGACAATGATATATTTTGGTTTCACTCACTGCCCTGATATTTGCCCAGATGAGCTGCAAAAGTTAGCTGCTGCTATTGATAAAATAAGTGAGTTGCTGATATTTTCATTTGATTTGAAAACTCCCTGAATTTATTGTTTATAATTAGTTAATTACAAAAAGCAGATACAAGCACTTTATGCTAGAGCAAAATGTGATTTGTTTAGATTCAAATGCTCTTGTCTTTTCATCATGGGATTATGCAGAACCCTTAGTTTTGTAGTAGAACAAATTGTTTTCATAGCTGAGAGTGCATAGGAGATTTTACTGATTCAACTAATTATTGTGAGTTTTTAGTGAAATTATTTTTTATATGCTGTCAGTCGTTCGTAAATCATAATATTTCTATTCTATGAATATGTCTCTGATTGCTGTAGTTGGTTTATGCTATGGCTTAATGCCAATAGAATATCATGTACTCTCTTGACTTATATCATGAATATTAGGGTGAGGATGAAGGGTGGGATAAATGATTGAGTTGTTGTAGCTTATTTCGAAAATAAACTGGTAATTGTGATTCTTGACAGAATAACTTTAATGTTTCTTTTCAAGCACATGAGGAGATTTTGGTTTCAAGATTTGGTTGACATCAATTTACATGGAAGAAGTACTAATACCAGCAAGTGTCAGAATTTCAGCCTCATGACTCCTTTTATGAACATGTTATATGCATATTTGTACAGATGCAATTTGTGTCAGCCTTTTGTTTTCTTTTGTCTATTGTTTAAGTGTCATTTTTTGTTATAACAGGATGTCATTTTGAATTTTTTGTTTGATGCTTGCAGAGGAAAAGGCAGGGTTTGATATTGTGCCTGTATTCATAACTGTTGATCCTGAGAGAGATAATGTTGAGCAAGTACGCGAATATGTCAAAGGTGCTTCTGAACACATTTTTTGGACTACAATTTTAATTTATTCCCATGCACCACTTATAATTTGGTTGGTGATTTTTTTTTCCCACTTCTCTGTTACAGAGTTCCATCCAAAATTAATTGGGTTAACTGGCAGCCTAGAAGAGATACAGAAAACTGCTCGTGCATATAGGATCTATTATATGAAGACATCTGAGGAAGATTCAGATTACCTTGTGGATCACTCCATAATAACGTATGTATTCTTTTTTGGCATGCTTAGCATTAATTGGACTTGCTTTCCTGTGAACTTTGAAGTGTCAACTTCACTTTCTATCCTTTGAACTCTGCTTCTTTTGTAGTGCGACTATGACAATAATAATGTTTTTAAATGAATACATCTTTTTATGAGAATTGATTAAATTTATTAAAATGTCTACATTCGAATTTTTTAAGTTCTGTGCTTTCTAACTGAAGACAGACAATTAATGGAGCTTATCTAATATTTTCGAGCAATGTTTTATTTATACATTGTTTTTAGTTTTTTTTTTTTTAACAATGTCTTTGTAACCTTATGCAGATATTTGATGGACCCAAACATGGAACTTGTGAAATTCTTTGGGAAGAACAATGATGCTGATGCTCTTGTGGATGGTGTTATTAAGGAGATAAAGCAGTATAAATCCAAAAATGCAAAAGCTTAATTATTGTTTCTTTTCTGTTGAATTAGATTCTATAGAGTTTTCATTGGCTCTTCTTGTCGAGTGAGAGCACCCTGAATTTTCCTTGGTTAAATTTTTTTTTTTTTTTTTTTTCATAATACCTGGAGACTGGAGTTTTGCAGAATCCAGATAAAACTCATTGGTATACAAGGGTGATTGTTTCCTTGTGGCCTGAAAAAAAAATTCTGTTACTGAGTTGACAATTCTTGGGCCTGTAAGAACTGATGCAACCAGTTTTTCGGATATTTAAATTATAATCTAATGAGATTTGGGTTATGCCCAGGTTATATACCACAGATTTCCTGGGACTAATTTCTGATCCGTAGATCTTCTACGAACGTATGATTTGATTTAATGTAATCTAGCAGCGAGGTTCGCATTTACCCCTTGTCTGAATAGAGGGCGCAAGCAAATACTAATATGAATGCCATGGTTAGAGATTTCTCATCTGGGCTGTCAATGCTGTGGGTTAATTTCGTAATGGTTTTTACATATAGACTTTGTTCTTATCGAATTCGGGGAGTATAAACCTTAAAGCGATAAGCTATGGGTTCATTTCGTTATCTGATCTTTCTATTTAATTTAATGCTTTGGTAAGAGAATTCTCAACGGGGCATATAATACCAAAAGAGCTGTCTATCTATCTAAGTAGGATTTAGGTTTTGTTTTTTTCTTTCCAGTCTATTTTGTCTTTATTCAAGTTTAGAATTAAGCCATTAAATTTCAAACATTTTCTAATTTACATCCACTACAATTGAATCATAATCTAACTTATAATTTTCAAATAGTCCTTAAATATTTAAAGTCATACAAAAAAAAGGATTGATTTTTTTTTCTTCAAGGAAAACCCTTATTTGTTTTACTCGCAAGATATTGTTCTCTGATTTTCTTTTTTATTCTCTTTCATTTAAAGACATTTATCATTAACTTAGTTTTTAAAAAATCTTATTCTAAACCCTATGAATTTTTTTTCCTCTTCATTTAGTATCCATTTATCATATTTTCATTTATGGTTGCATTTATTTGAAATAAAGTTAATAAAAAAAATTATTATCATATTATCTTCTTAATGTCTTGTTTTGTAAGAGTAATGTCACATGTCTAATTTGAAAAAATAATGATGTAATTGTATATTGTATAAAATTAAAGGATCAAATTGTACATATAAACTAAGTAATTATTCTAAACCTCCCCTCAAATTTATAGCCCAAGACAACGACTTGGCACCAGCAATGGACCTTGCATCTTCACCAGCTGGCGGCTACGAATGTGGTCCAAATTTTTAATTAAAAACAAAAAAAAACATTCAAAGTTGGATTAAGTCAAGCCAATACTATGGAAGAAAATGTTTCTTGTCCAAAATTTCAAACTTAAACTTGTTTTCCAATCCAAAAGTCACTATAAAACAATTTGGCATAGAAGGAGACCTTGCAATTTTGACCTCGTTAGATCAATGGCAGAAGTGAAGCTACATGGTTTCTGGTCTAGCCCTTGTAGTTAGAGTTATCTGGGCTCTGAAACTAAAAGGTGTGGAGTATGAGTACATAGAAGAAAACCTTCTTAATAAGAGTGAATTGCTATTGAAATACAATCCAATTTACAAGAAGATCCCAGTCCTTGTTCATGGTGGCTCGCCAATAGCTGAGTCTCTTATCATTCTTGAATACATTGAAGAAACATGGCCGGAGAATCCGTTGCTGCCAAAAGATCCTTATGACAGAGCCATGGCTCGATTTTGGATTCAGTATGAAGGTACTAAGGTAAGGCCATCAATCGTCGGTAAAAATAACTTTTTTCTTTTTTGGGAATGTAAAAGGAACTATTTGGTTAATATAGATCTACTTGTATATTTCCAAATCAAAACCATGTTAACTTGGATGTGATTGCAATGCACACAAACTATTTCAACTTTAATAATGGAAACAATATTGGCACAATATTTTTGAAGTGAAATTCAAACTTATAAATTCATAAATATATCAACTTTTCTTGTTAATTCTCATAAATTTAGAAATAATTTTGGCATTTTATTTCAAAAAATTTTGTCAATAGACTTATGCCTGTGCCACTAGCAACACCACAACAATAATAGCTTAAACGTTTAAGACGGTAACACTAATTACAAGGGATAGAAAAACTGATCAGGGAAAAGAAAATCATGAATTTGGCTATAAAGAAAGCTAAGTTTAATCTCATTATATTTACTTAATTCTTCTTCTTTTATTTTGTTTTTTTTAACTCACACACCGTAGGTTTAGGATTTGAACTCGTAACTTCTTATTGTAAGAGACTATTATCACTAGACTATAAATTCTTTATTATTTTATTTTTTTTTTACTTAAAGCAAACATTTCTTTTCTTATTCTTAAAGAAGTGAATGCATGACATTTAAACTGAGTTCTATTCTCTCTTCCTATATCACAAGGAGAGTAGTACGCTCTGGATTAAAGGCGAAATTTAGATTAATTTCTCTACTTTTTTTTATTTTTATTTTTTTTGGCATTTTACAAGCACAATAGAAGAATTTCAGAAATGAAATTTACAAGCTATCCAAAACAAGGCCTTCAACCAAGGTTCTAAGCATCCTATAGACCAATTCTTAGTTACTTATGCTAGCCCTAGTGAATTTTCATTTGTTTCCTAATCTTTCACTTCCTCCATTTAATATGACACATTTAAATATTTACTCATTCATTTTTAATTATTACAAACCTTTATGACAAGATTTTTTTTTCTTTTCTTTTCTTTTCTAGTGTACTGAAGCTTTAGGAGCGTTTTTCCGAGCAAACAAAGAAGAGAGAGAGAAGGCAGGAAAAGAATTATTGGAAGTGCTGAAAATCTTAGAAGAGCAAGGCCTGGGAGATAAGAAGTTTTTCGGTGGCGAAAATATAAATCTAGCAGACATCTCATATGGAGCATGTGCTTATTGGTTGCCGGCCATGGAAGAAGCAATAGGTGTAAAAGTTTTGGAACGAAGCACATTACCTAAATTACATGCTTGGGCTAAGAATTTCATGGTAGTTCCTGTGATTAAAGAAAACATTCCTGACTATGATAAGATGCTGGCCCATATTAAAGTCTGTAGGGAAAAGTTCGCCAAGAACTAGCCTTCATGATACCTTTGAATGCGAGTTCCATTTATGCCTCAGTTTTCTTTTCCATGTATGCCTTTGGGTTGGCTGTATACCTTCTATCTCCGAAGTAATAATAATGGCGGCGGCAGCTGTTGATGTCCGAAGCAAAACTAAAGCTTGAGAGATTCCCTTCTTGCCATTGGTTTGATTGTGTAACACCTTAGTCTCCAGTCTTATTAGGCCTTTTCAACTCTAAAAACTAACTCAAAAGTGAAGTTTTTTCTCGCATTATAATTAAACACTCAATTCCTTTCATAATCGATGTAAGATAATACAACAATCTTCTCCTTCGCACATCGAGCCCTAAATTGACTATTTCTCAATAATTTGTGTGGACCGACATAATGAGAATTGTTTAACTTGAACTCTGCTACTAATGGTTGGTGCTATTGGATCTTTTCATTCTCAAAAATTAACTCAACGAGTGAGATTTTTTTGTACACTTATAATCAAGCACCTAGCTTCTACTCTAATCGATGTAGGATAACCTAACAATCTTCTATTTAATACGTTAAGATTTAAATTAATTATTTCTCATCAATTTGTGTGACCAGCACATGAAAAATTGTTTAACGTGAGCTTCCCTTCCAGACTTGCATGGCTCCAGCTCCAAATGAAACAATAAGGAATTCATGCTATGATGTATAATTTTACTCTTAACCATGAGTTGTATCTAACATTTCGTTTTTCTTGTTCTTAATTCTTACAGTAGTAGGAAATGCATGACATTAAACTGAGTTACATCCTCTCTTCCTATATTGTATACTCTAATATTTTTTTCCCAAAATAAGATCTACCCTACACTTAAATTTTTCTTTTTATTCAAAAAGGCCACATAGGATGCCGCGTCAACATGCGTTCAACTACCGTTGCACACGCTGTGGCATAGAATCACTCCCCAACAGTATTAACACAAACGACACAAATTTTGTTGTTAAATTAAATTAATGTTGCAGAAGGAAAACCTCAAGTTTAATCTGAAATCATTTATTTAGCACAAGATTAAGACCTGGAGACTTGCATGAATAATAGAGCCAATTCCCTACCAAGATCTTTCACTGGGCCAATCGTACCTGAAATTGCTAGACAGTTGTTTAGGATGTTCAAACGACTGCTGAGTAGTAGTCGCATTACCAAGATTGGTTGGTTAGGTTAAGAAAGTTACAAGTATGGGTGGGCCTCCCTCAACAGAACAAGACAAATTAAAAATTCAACCGAGAGCAACAGAGATCAACTTTCTAGAGAAACTTTTCGGCTGGATGCTGCTGGCCAAATTCATGTGAAACATCAACATAGCATGAAACGGAAACAAAATTTGATGGGGCATTCATCTGGAAACAAGATTAAAGCAAGAGACTGTCTTTTCGTTCTTGCCATTGGTTACACTAACATCTGACGTTGCACAGAGTGAACCAAGACAAAGCTCATACTATGCCTTATAATTATACTCTTAACTTGACCTAATATACTTAATTTTTGCTATTCGTTTTACCACAACTAATCTAGACTCCATCTAAGAGATACAGCAGATCACCAAGTCAACAAATTGCATGATTTGCATAGCCTTCGTTCTCAAACCTTGTAAACTTCCATCAGCTTTGTTGCTCTGCACAAAACAATTCCATCTTTTTGGTGGTTGTGAATGGCCATCTCAAATTCACGATACAGCCATCTCATGTTTAATGAGCAAGCAGAATTCTGTCAACTTACTGCAACAATAATAGAAGCCCGGTTTATCAAACTCGGTTCAACCAAAAAAATAATAATGAGAAAAGGTATGGGATCTGATAGGACCTTGTATAATTTAAGTAAACATGCAAGAATGGGCTAAGGCAACTCCCACTGTTTACTTGTCCACATCGTCAGGGATAATGGCCTTGCCAAGATAAACCTGTTGCATCTCCTCTCTCCATATCTGCAAGGAAAGGTTAAATTTGACTACTCTGGTCTACAATGTTTTGGCAGAAGAAGAAATTCAGGAATAAGCATGTGGATATGAACGCTACTTGCTACCAGACCTTCCAAATTTGTGTCACACTCTGATTCCACAATCCCCTACTGTCCATTTAACTAGTTGCCTCTCATTCAGATAAAAAGTAAATGAAGCCAAAAGAGTAGCATGAAAAAAAGGAGGGATTGGTTATGGGGAAAGGTTAAAGGTGGCAGGGAACTTCTTCACAGAGGAATAAGGGACTATTAGAAACCACGTATTTGACATCCTAATGCTTCAAAAGGGCATTGCCCACTCATTTTGTACAGTAAAAAAAGACAACCATTGAACAACCCAAGCAAAAAGTTCATCGCTTCTTGTTTGAATAAGTCAATATGAAAAGGTTTGGAATCAGGTCCATACCGCGTCTCGAAATTCCACCCGGATATGTGGAACATTTGTCTTGTGAATATCATTTCCATCTGGTCCTCTCTTGTAGTACTCTTTACCAATCCAATGCGACTGAAGCAGGAATTTAAGGCAAGTGTCCAGAGATTAGATTTAAAAGGATTTACTACATAAATAATAAACCCTCATATTTTTTTACAGAGTTCAAAGCAGCACAACAAACATTGATAAATTAAATTTGAATATGATAATTCAGAGCCCATTATCTGGCACTTTAGATAAATTAAGAACAAGAACAGACATAGCAAAAAAGGCTGCCCTCTGAATCAATAAAACCCTAATAGAAGCCATACGGCAGCTTTGAAGAATCACATTAGTCTGATCAGGAAAGCAACAAACAAACATTCCCCCCCAAGAAAAAAAGAAAAAGAAAAAGAAAAGAACAAAAAAGCACGTAGTATAATATTTAATTCAGAGAGTTGGGAAAGCAATCTTCTACACTGCTCATTTTAGATGCCCAGATGTCCATCACATTAGGGAGTCAATAAGAAGCCAAACCGGTCATAAGGTGTACCCATTTTGATCAATTCAGTTCATTTGTGATGGTTGTCACAACAACATGCAGACAAATCACTCCCCTTCAAGGACTACCCAACTCAGACTAGGTTCCCCATGGAAATGAATCCGTGAAAAGAAATTATTTTCAAACACATGATATTTGCAAATACATCTTTATCATTCGTCACAGGCATGGGTAACAAATGATATTTGGAAAGCAATACCTGAGAGGACTAATCTTTTCATGACCAGTTCGAATATTCCCATCCCCATCTTGAGTATTACTGAACTTATTAAGCATATAAACCAAGAGAATAAATACTCTTGATACAAAGTGAGTAGACGAAATAAAAAATGGTAATCATTCAAGCAAATCAGTGCTTAACACGAAGGAAAACAAGAAAATTAGAAAATAGAAAATAGAAAAAAATCAAATATTTTGACCATCCTATATCTCAATTGGTTTCCCTAACAAAACTTACTGACACCAGATCCTTTCTTTTATAAATTTCAGAATCTTATATCAAGCTAAGAATGTACCTTCAAAGCATGCGAGAAACCTGATTGGTAGACAGAATTCCGGGCAATCTCACACAGATCGCATGCACTCAACTTCCACACCTGTCAATAAAGTTTGTAATAATGTATTTGACCTTAAGAACAAAACAAAATTTTCACTTTTTCAGGTGAGAAAAGGAGCACTTACAGAAGCAGCTATGCTATATTCTTCCACCAAGGGCTCTTTTGTTAAGTGGATTTGGAGCGGATCATCGGTGGAAAGAGAAACATTGAGACCCCTTAGGAAAAACATGGGAAAAGGGTTCTTATGGTAGTCTAAAAATAAGGAATTGTTGCTCAGAGGAGACATAGCCAAGCCAACCTATAATTAAAAAAGGGAAAAAAAAAAAAAAGCCACAATTGCCAATTTATGTCACAAAAAATCAATTTAAATAATGGTAATAATAAAAAGAATATATCTTCCATACCTGTGCCAGATAATACAAATACTGAAGTACAGGAGATTTCCTCAGATTGATCCCATGGGCGATATTATGACACGTAAGAAATGTGGCTGCAAGATGGTCAATATCACCAGCCTGCAAATGATTATGTATGTGAGTGAGGCAGCAGAAATCTCAACATTTGTGCAAAGTAGAAGGAAGCTGAAATGAATACCTCTCCAGAATGGGGACGGAATTTGATAGTTGTCATGCCCTTTGACTCACGAAGCTGAAAACAACATTGAAATAGGCTAGGAAACATTACATCGAGAGGAAGGCATTAGCATTTAGCAATTATTTAATCAGCAAGTCAGGAAGAGAACAGCCAGCTAGTAGAAACATTGGGAAGGAATCTCAGATCGAGCTGGGCGAAAGCTGCTAAGCCATATCGAAAAACATGAAATCGCTTTGATCGTTGCATTTTTCTATCTTATGTGGCAGAAGTTCCATCAAGATTATATATTCAAATGTCAAAAACTGGAAATATTTTTCTTGTTTGGTACTAATGATGCCATGACAAGAAAAGGAACAATCATGGAAAAATATGCAAAACAACTGCTTAAGAAAAATATTTCCAATAAAAAGGTGCATAGCTTTAATAAACATCTCCAAGTAGTACGTTATTAAGTAAAATATTGTTTCTGAATTAGAACACAGACCTTGTTTAGTGTGTAGAGGTTGGCATAACAATAATAAACATAGTATGAAAATGCAGGATTGAACACATTGGTCCATTGAGCTGGCGTAGGCATGTGCTTTGTCGGCCGTCTTTCAGGTTTGCTTTCGTCATCAACCAAGTCCAGCCCAACAACCTAAGAATTAAAACAAATGACAAGTTGGATGTCAAGCACCCTTAGAGCCCCAAAATGATCTCTGTAAGGATGGGAGGGTCAGGTTATGGTTTCAAACAAGGAAACAAAAGACGATGAAAATTTAATATCCCGCAAACACCCCAGGCGAATGTATTACATATAGTACTTGATCAACCATAAAGTCCTAGGTCACATGTTTTCATAGGCAACCCTGCCAGGTTTTTTCAATTACACCTATTGACTAATGTTCTGGCAGAGATCTCATTGAATTTTGATCTCCATTCAACAATGCTCCCAGATATAACACATAGTTGAAAAACATAGCATATTGCAGCAAGGACCATTGTTGTTTTGCCCCCTTTCTTTTAATAATGTAGTAAAGGGAAGCACAATGTGCGCATACACAATAAAAATGAAGACAAATAAAAACACCAGTGTAATCCTGGAAACAGAAAAGAGCAACTACCTTAGCTGACTAAATCTGTTAACAATAAATCATACTCATGCCAGTTGAAGATTTTAATTGTCTTGATACATAATTACTAGACCCTCCAAACATCTCAACAAAAAAGGTCCTCAAAATTGCTACTGGTTTGGTGATAAAATGGGGTGGTAAGCACCACAAATCCACTCTCAGTATCTCACTTCAAAAAATATCTTGTAAACCCTGTGATGCTGTCTGAAAAGTAACGGACAGTTCAGAAAATGGCAAACCTGTTTCAAGAAAACATGCAACTGAGGATGCGAATCTGGATCAATTGTAACCTCGAAAAGCGGAATAAAGATATTATCAAGAATATTCTGAAATGATGTCACAATCCCCATATCCTTGTAGATATTGTACAGTCTTGGAAGCTGAAAATGCACAAGATATTACACAGCATGAAATTAAATACTGACTCAAATTTTTCTACAGGTCAGCATCTCATAGTAAACAGAATGTTCGCCAACATTCAAACCCACCATCAATCAGCTAAGCTAACCAACCTTGCAAAGGTTCTGCTATTAAGAAACAAAAAAAACCGATACAAGTGTAAGCTTTTAGATACTTCCTTGAGCTTAAGTTCCCAGCGCAAAAAGTTCAGGAGACGTAAAAGCCTCCCTAAATCTACCATAAAAAAATAACCTTCAGTAATACGAATTTAGACATACTGTCAGTACCTGGATTAACCAAACAACGTTTTCACTGTACAAGTCATTATTCACTATCCAACTAGCCAATTGGTCCCATTCACTTTGCTTTCTACCATATATTGATATTCTGTATTCAGCCATCTGCAATAACAAAAACATGTACCGCGTATAAGTAGTAATACTGGAAACAAGCATATGAAAAAGTGCAAGTGACTTCCAGAGCATATTTAGATGCTTCTTAGGAAACAGGTCTCTTCTCCTATTTAATCTGGTCAACCTCTATAATGAACGTATGAGCAACTAATGCCAGCATAAGAGCCTCAATCAAAACAAGATTGGTAAAGCCAAATATCAAGATCCAATGATCAGAAAAGCTTATAAAATGTCCTACATTAATGTTACGGTAAAAGTTACTAGTTGCTGCCTTGATTAGCATGGTGTATAGAATGATAAATGAACACTTCAAATCCTAAGATAGGATGGACTCACCCTAAATTCACGACTATAAAAATTGAGAATTTCATACAAAAATACTAAAATATACCTTCTACCCATATCTTGCTAAGCAGACCAGGTCTAGAGAATGAGAACAGAATCAACAAAAGCAGAAACAAAACAAGGAAACATGGTCTTAAATCACGAATTCGGTGTCACTGGCATTTCTCAATTGCTGTAGGAATGACATGTTGACAAAGTTTGCCTAACGTACTGCTTTCAAGTAGTTAACAAAGTATAAGCAATATTACAAGTTTGAATATCATTGAAAAATTTACAACAGATCAAGCAAACCAGAATCTATATCTATGCATATAAATCATCTGTAAATAGGACAAAGAAGTACCTGATATTTACTAGCAGAGAGATCAGAAAAGACTTGTTTTGTCAGTTCACCAAGGAAACGGCCTGTTCATCAACATACAGCAATAAGCATAGATAATACAAAGCAGAATGGCAGGGAGAAAAAGCAGTTACAAATTAGTAGAAAACAAAATAAAGCATCATGACACAAGAACCATGTTCCCTCTACAAGATGCAAGCATGTAAAATGAAACTTGAGTCTTAACATGTGTAACATTTTAGTACTAGGATTTAAGACTTTTTTGTGGTTCATTGGGAGGCCTACTAGCCTTGAGCAACAAACGAGATTGATTCTCCCTTTCAAAAAACGTCACTCACTCATCACAGAATTGGTAGCCTGAGATCTCTAGCTAGAAGTTCCAAGTTTCTAACCACTATGTTTTTCCTTTGGAGATGGATTGGAAGACAGTTTCCTATGCAAAAAGTAATGCATGTTTTCTCATTGCCCATGTTCTTCTTTCATAAGTGTTCTTCAAGAGCACAAAGAAGTGAGCCTTCTATCCACCACCCAGAAAAAAGAAATCAAAAACAGAGAGGAAATTGGTATTTTTGTACTGAAGAAAAACTTAAGATGTACCTTGGATGAGATTATCTTGTTTAAGGAAAATCTCCCTGAGCCTACTTTGACCACAGGGATTGTACTTCAGGTTGAACTTATCAAAGCGATGAAATGTGCTCTTGTCTGCATGAACGTCTAAGAGGTCGACATTGAGATCATAACTGTTCATGAAAATGTCAATATGATCAAATCCTTCTCTATACAACAATATAAAAATGAGAACAACAACAAAAGTTCCTCACCCAGTCAAATCCAAACTCTCAAACACTTCTTTCAAAGTCAAATATGTTCCATCTCGAAAAATCACAACCTGAATAATAGTAAAAAAATTCCATGAAATCAACAAATATGTAATAAATATCGACCTAACAGTCAGATTGTATTATATTGTTTATGTGAATATGATATTAAAGTACTGGTTAGCTGCGCAAGAATATGCAATGATTATGGTCCATTGCCAACAGAAAAAGAAAAGAAGAGAAAGTTGTGCATTGTTTTAGTTCAGGAAATGAAAAAAGGCAGTTGACAGTACATCAGCAGAGAAATCCAATCTTTACCTCATCAGGCTCTTTCCTCAATTTTGACTTTATAAACCTTAAAAGATGTTTCTGGTTCATGCATGCAGAATGATGAACATGCGTATCAACTTTCCTGACATTATAAAAGTCACGATGTGGAGCACTTTTCTGAGCAAGAAACTCTCTATCCGCATTAAGCATCAAATGAAGGTTGAATTTCTGAAAAATATAGAGATAAGCATAAGGCCAAAGATCTAATTATTAAAGAAAACTTGCTTCTTAATAAATTGAGATAGTCAATGAAAAAATATATATACTTGTTCTAGGAGATTCAGGCGATGATGACATAGAGTTCTGATATTTCCAGTAGCAATAACACGAAGTATGTGATGCAAATCAGTGAAAAACGTTGTCGCATCAGCAACAGGAAAAAGTTCTTCCTTAGCTGAGAAAAGAAGAAAAAAGTAAGCATACAACATCCGTATAATGAAATAAGGATTGAATCATAACAAACAAGAAACTGAAGCTCATAGCTTACAGTCTTTATTTGGATAGACATGGATGACCCCATCTTGCATCTCAAAATAATGCTGTGCAAAAACAAAATGGAAAGTATAACTTGTCAAAAAAAAAAAAAACAAAACAAAACAAAAATACCGCGTAATCATAACTTGTTGTTCCACAAAATGCCAAAATCAAACATATACTCACATCAGATTTTCCCTCTGGTGTATGGGAGAATGGATCGGGATTAGGCTTTGGTGTGCTAGGATCAGAAATAATTTCTTTCTCCCATGGAGCAATGGCTTCTTTGAATAGATACCTTTTTCGCATTTCAAGGCATTCTTGAAGAACTATATAGGACTCCACTTCATCTGGTGATGGCACCTCTGCTGACGCAAAATAAAATTTGTAAAGAAAAAAACTCATCTTAAATTGGAGCATTGGAGACTTTGAGTCCTAGCAGAAACTTACATACTTGCAAACTTACAGGCAGTGAATAATTCAAATAATTAGAATTGTTTAGAAATTAACCAAGCAAAAAAACAGACAACAACTTTAAGAGGGTAGAGGCAAGCAAAAAAAATTTAAACATGTATACATTAAAGAATGCACGCATATTTTGCGTCATTCCTTTTAAAGAACTTGCATACCAACATATGCATATTTCATGATAAAACTTAAGCAACTGCTTTCCTTTCGCAGCCATTCAACTTGCACTGTTATGCAATATAGCAGCAAATATCAGAGACTATGTTCAAAAACTCATGAAGTAGCAAAAGACAAATTCATTAGATATTCATCATTCTATTAAAATATATATATATATATATATATATATATAAAAGAGCAAGAATAATTAACAGTAAGTACAGATGAGGAGGAGTCAATACCCATAGGGGAAATTTTAAGTCGTGCAAAAGTTTCTTGTTCTGGCTCTTTCCTTAGAATATCAGCTGCAATAGGATCGGGCTGAACACCATGCAGGTCACCAGACACACTATGGGATCGAATCATGCTTGAAGCAGGTATAGCCATTTGGTCTCCATTTGCATTAACGTGTTGTGGTAAAACATCCTTTATATCCTAAAAAAACATATGCCAAAAAAGTAAGAACATAAGGAAATTCAGTCAAAATGAGCATTGCTTGTGTGCACATGCGCATGTTGAAGAATGATGTTGCTATGCAAAGTAAGGAATGTGAATTTGCAAGATCAAAACTCACAGCATTTCCATTAATATGCAGATATGAAGTGTCTAGTTTAGAATTGTCAGTCATATTATCTTCATCATCTGATCCTTCCACACTGTCAAAGGCACTAGCACTGGCACCAGGAGACTTTGGAGAAGTTGGTCTGATAAAACTTCCATGCCTCTTGACATGCCCAGCAGATTTCCCTGAAACAGAATAACACTGGATTAATTCAGCAAACAGGACAACAGCTCCCCACCTCAAATGAAAAGATGAAAAAAATAAATAAATAAGTAAAGAAAATTGCAACAGAATTCCAAGTCATTTCAAGTTAGTATCATGTGAAGCTATAGCTGGTTCCTTCTATATGTAAGGGCAAAAGAGGGAGTTAGATTTTATTGGAAGGCACAATGAAGAGCAGCAAAAAGTTCAACTGTTGGAGGACAACTGTAATTGGCTAGATAAATGACTCCGGAGCATTTCCGATTTGTTTATCAAGAAGAATCAGTTTAATCCCAAAGTTTAAGTTCCTTATTCGTCTTTGCCACATGTACATTCCCTAACAAGGATAAGCTTTCTACCCCGAGAATTCATAACAGATAAAAATTTCTTGCACTTTAGCTCTTCTTCGAGCTAGATATTAATAAAGATCATTCTGACATTGCTTGGTTTAAAATTCGTGCATGATCTATTTTTTATTCGTTGATCTCTCTTTTAACATCATCCTTCTCTCTTAAAACATGCAGAGATAAGAATCACAAGCTGGTGATTATTTCCAATGCAAATCCCTTCTAAACAACGATAGATAAGAACTTTGACCTGAAACCAAAAAATGCTCGCAATTTAAATGGATTATGCACAATGCTCGCAATTTTAAATTTACCTTCAAATCGCAATTCCTTACCCTCACATGCATCAATCCAATACCAACAAGATTTACTTCAACAATACTTATAATCTCGACAAGCAGCAATCATAGTAAATACAAACCAGAAATCAAACATTCAGATAAATATATTTAATATATTAAACACACAGCAGAGTTATTAAAATACTCTTAAAATATCTTTGGCTGCACTATTATAAAATATAAATAAAAATATCAAAGCCGTCAATTCAAGCCGAGCTTTAAATATTCACTCCGGAGAGAAGTCCGACATGATCATACCTTTAGGCAAGGTTTGAAGTCTCGGCAATCCAGTCGGAATCCCTTCGACATAAACCACCTGACCGTTCCGTTTCTCCTCTCCATCAATTCCACCACCAGAAATCGCCGTCACATCCGGTAACGAAGCCGAGCCACGCTTATTGTAGTAACCTTTACTTCCTTCCCTCCGTCCGTGACTCCGCCGCTTCTTCAAATGCTGCGGCGACGATCCGCCGCCTCCATCGGAGTCGTCTTCTCTTTCTCGTTCTCTCTCTACCGTCTTGGCGAACTCGAGAAGTTGAGTTAGGGTTTTGCGATGCATATAATAAGCGGATACTGCCACACATGATGCTCCGACTAGAGCCGCCATCGCTAGATGCAGCGCGTACGTATCCATTACTTTCTCTCTCTAAAAAATATCTCTCTCTACAAATAGCTGTTAGCGGTTTTCTGGAGGGAAATGGTGAGTTGTAAATGGTCTGCCGAAGAGTACAGAGAGCTAGATGATGGTTAGAGAAGAGAAGAAGAGGAGGCTTGTGTCTCTTTCGAGCCAAGTGCGGCTTGTTTGGATATTTATAGGCTAAAACAGAAGAGGACATGTTCATTTTTCTCTCTCCCTCTCTTTTAAAGTTCAAATCAGTCATCCATCTCTATAGATATATAAATCTGCTCACTAAAATTCAACATTAAGCAATGTTACCTTATTGCTATTAGAAAAGGCTTAATATTACAAAGTACACCTTTTTTTTTTTTTTTTTTTTTGGAAAAAGTTTGGTTAAAATTAGGATTGAAAGCACATTTCCAAGGAAAAAGAAAAAGGCATGTAATGAAAAAATAGTTTTATTAATTGAGTGTAAATGTGTGTTTTAATAAATTAGAAACCCGAAAAGAATTCAAAATAAAATTTCTGAAAAAGAGGTTTTGTTGCTTGGACTTCGTGTCTAATTTTCTCATAATATTTTTATGGAGATGTAAATTAAGAAAACTTGAAAAAGTTTTCTAAATTTGAAAGACGAATAATCTCTCAATGCATAAAAATGCAATACTAAATTATTTGAACAAAATAAATTATAGATTGAATTCTTTTAATCTCTAATGGAGGATAAAGTTGAGTAAAATCTTACTGGCCTGGGGTAATATTGTTTAATTCTGAATTTTAGAAACCTAACTGAAATCACATATGATTGGAGGACTGGTTTGTATTTTATCTTTTTATCCGCTGAAAGAGCACTTTCTTGCTGCTTTACCTTTCAATGGTGGATAAAAAAATGTGCTCAGTGGCGAGTCGCCTTGTAAAATCCCCGCTTTTATGCAATTAATGATTGTTTATGTGGGTTAATTAGTGTTTGGTTTTTATTTTTTAAAATTTAATACGGATTAATTAATTCGATTAGGGTAATGGGGGTGGTGCAAGTGCCGGGTGGAAGCCATTGTCGGGTTAGGGTGGAGTGGGCCAGGGGGGTTCGTGTAATTAAAGGTGTGGGTCGTGAGTCATTTTCCTTATCCATACATGGGTACCAAATCAAATATGCCAAGGAGATGCAACACATATGCTGAGAGGAGGTGCTTTTGTGTCTTGTTGCCTTTTATATCAGGAGTTCCGTGCTAAGATTTTAAGCATTTTCTGTATTTTCTCTCCTTCTTTCTTATTCTATTGTAAACAATATCTTCGAGCCAACTAATATTAAATCGAGAACAAATTTTTTTAAAAAATAATTTTAAGAATGCATCTTTTATATTGACTTAATAGAGTTAAAGAAACGAAAAGTTTTTTTATTGTTAACTTCAAATTCGAAAGCACATCTTTTTTAAAATTAAGCCAACAAATAAGTTTTAAAATATTCAATAAATAACTATTAATATTTACTATATGATGCACTTTAAAGAGAAAAGTCAATAAAAAAATCACATTTAAATCTATCAAAAGTGATAATAATATTTTCACATATAATCAATTTTTTTAATTTCTTTATATATATATATATATATTACTTTTTGAGTATCATAAAATATCTTCAACCGATCTCTCTCTTTTTAATTGAGATTTAAGCATTTTTAAAAAATTTCTTAAAATAAAATGTTTCTTAAAAAAAATTTACACCCTGAAACTAAACTCTTTCCTTATCTCACATTTGATCAATACATTTAAGATAAATTATTACATTCTTCTTTTGATTCAAACTTTAAATAGTTTTTTTTTTCAACAATAAGAATTTTTTCGAGTTAGTTTTTACATACTTCGAGACTAATTCTTCCGTGAGTGTGGCTTAAAGATATTTATCAACGCACGGCTTCAAGTATAATAAGAACAAATTCTTAGAATTATTGATCACAAATATCAAACACTAGACTCGATCTAAAAGAGACTAATCCTTTCATGAGTTTGGCTAAAGGACATTTATCAACATGACAGGACTTCAAGTATTTTAAAAACAAATTTTTGAAAATACTAATTACATAGATCGAACTCTAAACATTACCTACAAGTTGATGCTTTCTTACCAATAAGCTAGCACTTTTTTGTTTTAAATTTTTTTTTTTTAAGTCAATGATAAGGGATATTTTCCAAGTTTAAATATGATATATTGAATAATTACACTTACGACCATGCTAATATTTTGATATTGTTTTTAGAAAATGTTACTAGTATGCGACTCTCAATTTTTTTATTTTTTTTTAAAAAAAGGTTTCAAAAGAAACATTAGTGCATGTAGCGTTAGATTCCCGCCAATAATTTGCACTTCCCCTTGCTGACCATATTTCATGCCCTTTTTTTATTCTTCTCTCACTGTGTTGCATAACCTTTCCCACTAATCCAAAATTTTTTAGAAGAATGCTACATCTAATTGAGGTTTTTTTTTTTTTTTTTAAGGATAAAATACATCACTTGTCTTTGTAATATTCAGTATTGGTTATTTGAATCTTTTTATCGAAATATAATACAAAACAAATTATAACTATTTAAAATCACAACAAATCATTTCTTCATCTAATTTTGAATAAAGATTGGTTTGTCTCAAATTTAAATAGTATAAAATTTATTTTGTATCACACCTGAATAAAAAAAATTAAATAAACAATATTGAATAATATAAGAATATAGAGTTATTTTTATCATTTTTAATCACTATAACCCCGATGTCACTAAAAAGAAAATGAAATTTGTATGTGTATGATGTATTATTATTATTATTATTATTTTATCAAGATTATTTTTGGACATGTTTAAAAACAATTTTATAGTTGCAACTTGTGTAATAAAACTCACAATACCCTCCCCCTCTCTCTCTCTCTCTCTCTCTCTCTTCTCCTTAAATTTCAATCCCCATGCGGTTATTTTTTAATAGCAAGGACAATTGATTGATGTGAAGTAAGAACAAAGAATATCATGAAACGTTTTATATATATCTGTGTGTGTATTAATGAATGGAAATCAATGCATTAAAACCTATAATATCCTCATGATTTGAAAAGTCAACTCTTATCGACTAACTCCTTGATCTTAAAAATGTAAATAGAAAATCATATTGTCTATGCTACAATTTAGGAGCTGAATTAGTCATTATGCATTTTATATATTATCTCATTCTATGAATGGAAAATATACAGAAATTCATTAAATCTTTATTTCTTTCATATTTTTTTTAAAAAAAAAAACTGGGAGAGAATGTCATGTAAATTATATATGAACCTTATTTTCTTATAAAAAAGAAAGGACATAACTCCGTCTGCACCGAATAGTTTCTTCTTTTTTTCAAATCATGGTGTCATATTTTGTCAAAAAATGAAATCTTTTTCCTTTTATAAATATATTGTACGGAATAAGAAAAAATTGCAATATCTACCATTCCAAATGAAAACTCAAAATTCACTTTATATATATATATATATATATAATGGCAATAAACTAAGGGCTACCTACTGCAGAGAGTCCTCTTGACTGATGTTGACTTGTGTTTTTTAAAAATAAAGTCATAAATATCTACTCCTTTTCCTTTACATTTTATAAGAATTTTAAAATTTATTATTCTGATGATTTTATTAAATAAGGCAATTTAATTCTCTACAATTAATGATGGAGTGAGAATAAACAAAAAATAAAAATTAAAGTGGGAATAATACCATCCATTCATAAATATTTAGATATAATATCTACTCTTTTTCTTTTACATTTTTATAAGAATTTTAAAATTTATTATTCTGATGATTTAATTAAATAAGGCTATTTTAGTCTCTACAGTTAATAATGGAGTAAGAATAACAAAAAAATAAAAAATAAAGTGGGAATAATACCATCCGTTTATGAAATATCACTATTTGATTCCAATTAGAAACAATCGGTCAAGAGGACTATCTGCATTAGGTAGCCCTATATATATATATATATATATATATATATATATATATATATATATATTGACAAATTTAAATTGTGTTGGTAGATATTGCATTTTATGAATAAGTCATTCGGTGAATTATGGCTTTAAATTTGTTGTGTACCAAAGTTCATATACTATAAATCATGAATTATTACTAATATTTTATCATTTTTTTATGATGTAATGATTTCATTATCAAAGGTAAATATTTGAAACTAAAACGTATGGTAATTATAAATATCAATTCTTATCTGGAAAATTAGATCTTTTAAAATATATATTACAAAGTACAAAATTTGAATCAACTGAAGATATATATATATATATATATATATATATTTGAAACTAAAACGTATGGTAATTATAAATATCAATTCTTATCTGGAAAATTAGATCTCTTAAAATATACTATTCAAGAAAATATATATTACAAAGTACAAAATTTGAATCAACTGAAGAGATATATATATATTGTAGTTTTTTTTTTCTTAATTCCCAAAAAATAAATATTTTATAATTTAAAATTATAGAATAATTAAGACACAAATTCAGTACGGTCATAGTAGTCATTACATAAAATAATGGAGTAGGAATAATAAATTGTGAAGCGTGAATAATACTACCCTGGATAAATAAAAATATATAGTTTTAAGCATCTTCGAATTTTTCAATCAATTTAATAACAACAAGAATAAGGACACTGACCATTACTACTTCAAAACGTTGTATTGTCTCTTCTTCTTTTTTTAAGGTGTTGTCTATTTACCAGTGAAGGTGACAGGCAAGATTGATTGATGTAGGTACTAATGTGCATTAAATCTACTATGTTCTCCCCACCATGTAGCATTCCACGATGGTTAAGTTTGATTCTTTTGAATCCTTTTGACATTCATGTTTCTTAATATTTACAGTTACCGAGGTTTTTTTTTTTTCTAATTTTCACATCAATCGACTTTTTAAATTAAACTAGTGACAAAATACGTTTAACCTTTGATTGATTATTGGATTCTTATTAGAT